CTGCCTTCCTGCCCGTCCTCCGGAGCTGTCCCGGCGCCGCCTTCTTGCCCGGCCCCCTGAGTTCCCCAGCCGAGTCCTTCGCCCTCGAGCCCGGCCCCCTGAGTGCCGCGGCCTTCGCCCTCGAGCCTGGCCCCCTGACTTTCCCAGCCGATGCCTTTCCCCTCGAGCCCGGCCCCCTGACTTTCCCAGCCGCGGCCTTCGCCCTGTAGCCCGGCCCCCTGACTTTCCCAGCCGCTGCCTTCGCCCTCGAGCCGGGCCCCCTGACTTTCCCAGCCGCTGCCTTCTCCCTCGAGTCCGGCCCACTAATTTACCCCGACGAGGCCTTCACCCCTGTCTTCGGCCCCCTGAGTTTCCCCGCCGCGGACTTCCCTGCTCTGTGGCTTTGCCCCCGGGCCGTCCGCCCGAGTCCCCCTTCTTCTTTAGGGACGTCTGGGATCCCTTGAGGGGGGGGGGGGGGGGTAATGTCACGATCTGTCTGTGTTGTGTTTTGTCTTGTCTTATTCTGTCTTTGTTTTCCTGTTTTATTTTGAAAAGTGTTCACCCCCCGTCTTGCCTGTTGCTTTCTGTCTCTGTGTTCCCTCCTGCCTGATTACCCGATTGTGTTCACCTTGTGCCCCTGTGTTTTCTCCTCCATCCTCACCTGTGTCTTGTTTGTGTGATTAGTCTTGTGTGCATTTAAGTTCTGTTTTTTCTGTCTGTCATTGTTAGATCCTTGTTTGTCTTTGACTGTGTTCACGGGGAAGAGTTCTGTATGTTACTATTTAGCCTTGAAATAAAGGTATTTTCTGTTTATTCTGCATTTGGGTCCTGCCTGCTTCACTCAACCCTGAAAGACACAATCCTATGCAAAATTATTTTATTTTTTCTATGTCTTCTGTGAGAAATACTGCAAACATGTTCAGGAAATAACTTTTGCTTTTATGTACTTAAATTATTCCATATTTTGGAAGTAGCGTCTGTCACTAATGCTCTGTCCTTCCTTCCATAGCTGAGGGAGGAGTAATTCACAAACTAAATGCAACTGTACCAGGAGATGTGAGAAGTAACAGTAAAATTAGTAACAGTATCAGTCGTCATGGAAATTAAAATCCTATGTGTTATTTAAATGCGGCTTCTGGACAAAGTCATAATTCAAGTTATATTTTGTATGGCTTTGAATGTATGAATTGTTCTTTCTAATGGACGTTAGTGTACCGGAGTAGACTGTAGACATACCGGAGTAGACTGTAGACATGTTAGGTTTAACAGTAATTCAGTCTGTCTTTACTAAATTATGTTCTTAAACAATTTGCTATACTGTCAGTTGTGTATATGGTCAATTACAACTTTACGGTTATATATAAGGGATTGTGATTTACCAAATTCCTCTCGGGATTGAGTTGTGCTAGTTAACTGGAACCTCCTCACAGGATGACTGAAAGCCACCCTCAGTCGCAGGGTTTTTGACTCTAAAACAGCACATAGAACATTAAGAACAGGTTACAGATGTTTTTTCCTTTCATTTTTTTCAAGCTACATACAGGTTAACAATTTATTAAATCTATTGAAACATATTCCTCAATAGTCTTTAATGTCTTCTATTACAGTATGAGCTCAGAACAGTCTCATAATACACACATGCACACAGAAGGATTCACACTTGTATTTCATGATCCGCAAAAGGATTCACACTTGTATTTCCGGATCCACACTTGTGTTTTTCAATGCACACACAAATGTGTTCCGTTTCATATACATGTAAATAAAATCCAAATACAGAAAAAAGTTTTACATATGTAATTTTTTCTATCTATAGCCAATCAGATGAGCGCGCCCCCACGAGGGTAGATTTCTTGCGTTTATGACGTAGCGCTTCATGTACGCATTTTGCGCTGTCCGGAGCTGACAGGTCCATGGAGCCTGCCTGCAGGCGCTAATCTCAGGACACCTCCACTCTCAGTACATTGCCACTTTCCGAACAGGAAATGCACGCAAATACAAGCCTTTATCTTATTAAGGTACAATGCCACTTTCCGAACCATTAATGAATGCTTGTGTACACAAAAACGGCAGGCAAAACCGTTTTAAATGTGTGTTTCCTGTATGGCGAATACAGCTGCTTTATTTATGTCTGTATGAAGTTGTTGTGAGTGTGAGGGGGCAGCTACAGGTTAGCTTAGCCTAATCGATCAGTGCACTACGAAGCCAGTGCTAGACAGTGAACTGTCAACGGGGGGAGCCCCGCCGGTCATTATCGGCCGATATTCACTCTTAATAGTTTGACCGGTGCTCTCTATAAAGGCCGTTCAGGAGAGCTGGATCTGATCGATATGGACATAAACGCGAGTGAAGTTTTAGCGAGCTGCATGAGAAACTGACGGGGAGAGAGGGAGGGAGAGAGGAAAATATAGGATCCGTTACTCCCGTGTTATTAGCCATATCCGGTCATAGTCCGGTAATTACCTGCTAACGGAAACTCTGCTACACAATTCTTCTTATTATTGAAACATGACCGGTAAGTTTCAAATTTGTCCGGTAAAATGAATTCTGTCCGCGGAAACCCTGCTCCGGACAGCGCAAAATGCGTATATGAAGTGTCATGAACGCAATAAATCATACCCTCGTGGGGACGCGCTCATGTGATTGGCTTAGAATGAAGGAGACATCTGATTGGCTATAGATAGAAAAAATTACAAGTACGAATCGGGTGACCGTCAGGGGAGTCGCAAAAAACCCACACACGAATGCACAGCGATACATGCACAGAAAGCGGTTTGTGTTTGCAGGTTGAGGCGATTTAAACGGAAAACAAATATGTGAGGATCAAAAATACATATGTAAAACTTTTTTCTGTATTTGGATTTTATTTACATGTATATGAAACGGAACACATTTGTGTGTGCATTGAAAAACACAAGTGTGGATCCGGAAGTACAAGTGTGAATCCTTTTGCGGATCATGATATACAAGTGTGAATCCTTCTGTGTGCATGTGTGTATTATGAGACTGTTCTGAGCCCATATTACAGTGCCACTGAAAGATGTTCTACGTTTCTATATGAGATGATGTGCTGGAACTAACCCGCACCCTCAGAACATAATGACTGTGTTAATGACCTGTTCTAATTGCTCCACCATTTGCGGCGTGCGTTGAAGCTTCAACGCTTCTGCCCATTCACTTTGAATGGGGTGACGTCACACTTCGCCGAACTGCATTGTGGGAGCGTTGCTTCGCTTTGCTCGCGTTGCTCGCTTCAAAAGTTGAGTAATGTTCAACTTTTGAAGCTTCTGCGGAAGCGTCAGCCAATCAAATCATATGCCAGTACAAGCTCTAGCCAATCAAACCGCGTGCTTGTGTGTCCGGGGCGGGAGATTCATGTGATTGGTTGTTGGTCGAGTTTCAGACAAGCTCACTGGCAAGCTTCAACGCACGCCGCCGTGTGGACGCTGCGTAAGGGGTCTCTGGAGTGTCCCCTCCAGAGCGTGATCTTTTCCTCTCCTCAGCTGCTCCCTTTGTTAGAGTGAAAAATCATCTCTCTTTGGTTAAATATACTGAAACCAAAAGACAGATGACACATTAAAATAAATCCCAACATGCTGTGTAGGTTAGGTGTTCATCAGCTTTAAAAGCATTTGAATTGATACTCTGAAACTCTGAAACTCTTGTGGAGAGAAGGAGCTTTATTTTTCCAAAGAACTTCCTCTTTTGGTATTGTGATGGTGTAGGAGAGTCCAACCTCTTTAATACGTTTCAACTGGGTCGAGATGTGGTGAGGCAAAAGATCTGTTTGGAATCTTCTAAACTAAACTGTATGTTGAAGTTCAATAATGATGGATATTAAAACACCAACCTTGGCTTCATCTAGCATGATGTCATGCTTCATCTCAAGAGCCACTACCTCTTGGTAGTTGGGGTCATTGGGGTCCAGGTTATGTTTTTTATAACTAGATTGACAATATATCTAAATCAAAGAGCCAACTAGTGTAGGCAGCTGCCGTCTGATATCAAGGATATGGAATAAATACTCAAATGGCTTGCCATAGGACCTGCAGTTGTGGAGGCTAAACTGGTAATACCCGCAGTTGTATCAGCTGCAGTTGTGGGAGCTACAGTTGTAGGAGCTGCAGTTTTGGGGGCTACAGTCATGGAGGCAGCTTTAGGAGCTTCAGTTGTATGACCTGCAGTTGTATGAGTTGCAGTTGTTGTAGTTGTAGCAGATGCAGTGTTGGTGCCTGTTACTGGAGATGTAGGGGCTGCAGTTGTGGCTGTTAAAATGAGAGATGTGGTAGTTGAAACTGGATTGGTGGGGCCTGCAGTTGTCGTGGTTGAAATTGTAGTTGTGGCTGCAGGTGTAGTGGTTGAAACTGGAGTTGTGGTGGTTGCACTTGAAAATGGAGTTGGGCTGGTGGCACTTGTTGAACCTGTAGTTGTAGTTGCTGCCATAATGGTAATATAGAATACTTTTAGAAAATATATAATATCTATAACCTAACATTTTGATTTATCTTTATCCTTAATTACAAATCTCACCAATCTTTTGTACACTCAACACATGGAACATTGACTTAAATTAAATTAAATTGTCAACACATAATTGTATTAGGTTAGTTGAAAACCATACTATTGCATTGAACCTCATATGTTTGTATTTAAACTTTATATTGCTTTCAACTAACCTATACAATTATGTATAATCTGTTGACAAAAAACAACTAAAGTCAACTTTTCAATCTTTAGAATGCAGGTATCTCAGTGTGTTGAACTGTCACCAAACAGTTCAACAACTATTTTTGGGGTTTTGAACATCCTTGTTCCTAAAAGGATCCTACCCTTATAAAGTGTTCTGTATTCTGCATAGTTCAACACTGACTGTAAATGAAATGTCTAACTCAAAGATGATAAAACCTAGACAGATTTTGATGAGTGCTAAGATTTTTTGTTTTTTATAAGAATTACAATTGGATACAATGTTTAGCAGAAATACATTTCATAGTGAAGAAGTGATTTGCTCAGGATTTATTTATAATCTCTTGTTTATTATTCTTCAAGGTCCTTGATGGAGGATCATTCAGAATACCATCTTGGAAATTATACAGAGCAAATGATTAAGCTCTACCACATTTTAATTAATTAAATTATTACATTCCGGGAAATACTGCACAGACAAGAATATTGTTTGGTTTAAAGGGAAAATTGTCAGAGAAGTTTGACAGAATGCTAATAATAGAAACACAAGAGGGTTGTGAGCCTTAAACTTAAGTTTTGTCATTGATTAAAAACACCTTCTCTTGCACCTTAAGAGCAATCCAGATACTTCTGTTGATTTCTTGTTATTGGTTGTAGACCACTTCAACATATTGGAGTATAATGACATACGATGTGTTGTGCCCAAACTGAAAGCAATATACAAATCAAAGACACTTTCCTGATATGATTAAATGGTTAAGGGTGACTGCCCCTTCACATTGTTTATAAACAATACCAGCAGCCCAACCTGAAATTGCATTTGTCAAAAATCTCCATGATGCTTCTATGGGGACACTTGAACCCTTTGTATGTTTGTCACGGTAACTGTGTGGGCTGATCCATTCGGGAGCCGGTCTCCAAAAAACTAAATGGAGAGAAAACACAATGAACTCGAATGAATCAAAGTTATATCTAATTTCAATCATTGATTATGTTGTGTGAGGATCCTTCACATACAAGTTATCTGACATATTATGGTTTACATACCTGTTTAACAAGTTCAATGATGGTTCCATTGCTGACCTCCCCAAAGGTAGATATTCTCAGTTGTATGTGTGCAAGTGATACCAAGCCTGTATGTGAATAAACAACATAAGTAGGAAATGTGAAGGCCAATTTTATAATTAATCCCTTTCATGAAAATAACATTATTGCTAATATATTCATATATGTAATATATTGATCCCCTTAATCATACAAATGAATTTGAACACCCTAAAACTGTGGCTTATGGCCATAATTAGAATGTTCTAAATTAAAAAGTGGGAGAGCAAAACTTGGGCTCAAAGTGGATTTGATGATGTTTCTTTCTTATGCTTCACTTAATGCTTTTGGCCATGCATATTTAAAACATTCTACCATTAATTTGTGCGTGATAGACATCAAATCAAAATGTAAAAATAATAATTCGAGTCAAAACCTTGGTTTGGTGGTTCTCCAGGAGTTGGTGTGATAAGGGGAGTTGTAGGAGCTGAAGTTTTTGCAAAATCAGTTGTGGTGGTTGCAGTTGTGGAGGCTGGAGTTGTGGAGGCTGTAGTCGTAGGCTCTCCAGTTGTGGAGGGTATAGTTTTAGTTGTTACAGTTGTGGGGGCTACAGTTGTGGGGGTTGTAGTAGCTGCAGTTGTTGCGACTTCAGTTGTGGTGGTTGCAGTTGTGGAGGCTGGAGTTGTGGAGGCTGCAGTTGTGAGGGCTACAGTTGTGGAGGCTGGAGTTGTGGAGGCTGCACTAGGAGCTGAAGTTGTAGAGGGTGCTGTTGTAGTTGTTACAGTTGTGGGGGCTACAGTTGTGGAGGCTGGAGTTGTGGAGGCTGCACTCGTAGGATCTGAAGTTGTGGAGGCTGCAGTTGGTGAGAATTCAGTTATGGTGGCTACAGTTGTGGAGGCTGAAGTTATGGAGGCTGCAGTTGTAGTTGTTACAGTTGTGGGGGCTATAGTTGTGGGGGTTGCAGTTGGTGCGTATTCAGTTATGGTGGAGGCTGCACTCGCAGGAGCTGAAGTTGTGGAGGCTGCAGTTGTAGTTGTTACAGTTGTGGGGGCTATAGTTGTGGGGGTTGCAGTTGGTGCGAATTCAGTTATGGTGGAGGCTGGAGTTGTGGAGGCTGCACTCGCAGGAGCTGAAGTTGTGGAGGCTGCAGTTGTAGTTGTTACAGTTGTGGGGGTTGCAGTTGGTGCGAATTCAGTTATGGTGGAGGCTGGAGTTGTGGAGGCTGCACTCGCAGGAGCTGAAGTTGTGGAGGCTGCAGTTGTAGTTGTTACAGTTGTGGGGGCAACAGTTGTAGGGGTTGCAGTTGGTGCAAATTCAGTTATGGTGGCTACAGTTGTAGAGGCTGGAGTTGTGGAGGCTGCACTCGTAGGAGCTGAAGTTGTGGAGGCTGCAGTTGTAGTTGTTACAGTTGTGGGGGTTGCATTTGGTGCGAATTCAGTTGTGGTGGCTACAGTTGTGGAGGCTGGAGTTGTGGAGGCTGTACTTGTAGGAGCTGAAGTTGTGGCTGCAGTTGTAGTTGTTATAGTTGTGGGGGCTACAGTTGTGGGGGTTGCAGTTGTGGAGGCTGCAGTCGTAGGCTCTCGAGTTGTGGATGGTGCAGTTGTAGTTGTTATAGTTGTGGGGGCTGCAGTTGTTGGGGCCACGGTTGTCAGAACTACGGTAGTAGAAGTTGTGGCTGCAGTTGTAGTTGTTATAGTTGTGGGGGCTACAGTTGTGGGGGTTGCAGTTGTGGAGGCTGCAGTTGTGGAGGCTGCAGTCGTAGGCTCTCGAGTTGTGGATGGTGCAGTTGTAGTTATTACAGTTGTGGAGGCTGCAGTTGTTGCGACTTCAGTTGTGGTGGTTGCAGTTGTGGAGGCTGCAGTCATAGGCTCTCGAGTTGTGGAGGGTGCAGTTGTAGTTGTTATAGTTGTGGGGGCTGCAGTTGTTGGGGCCACGGTTGTCAGAACTACGGTAGTAGGGGCTGCAGTTGTCGTGGTTGCAGTTGCAGGACCTATTGTTGTGGGAGCAACTGTTGTAGGGGCTAAAGTAGTGGGGGCTGCAGTTGTCGTAACTAAAGTAGTGGCAGCTGTAGTTGTGGGGGCTGCAGTCGTTAAGGCCACAGTTGTCAGAACTACAGTAGTAGGGGCTGTAGTTGTCGTGGTTGCAGTTGCAGGACCTGTAGTTGTGGGAGCAGCGGCTGTAGGGGCTACAGTAGTGGGGGCTGCAGTTGTTTTAACTACAGTAGTGGGAGCAGCTGTTGTAGGGAAAGCAGTGGTTGGGTCTACAGTTGTCGGAACTATAGTAGTGGGGGCTGCAGTTGTCGGGGCTGCAGTTGTGAAGGCTGCAGTTGTGGGAGCAGCAGTTGTAGGGGCTGCAGTTGAGGGGGCTGCAGTTGTGAAGGCTAGAGTTGTGGGAGCAGCAGTTGTAGGGGCTGCAGTTGTAGGAATTACAGTTGTCGTTGCTGCAGTTATAGGACCTGCAGTTGTGGGGGATGTAGTTGTGAAGGCTGCAGTTGAGGCGGCTGCAGTTATGAAGGCTGCAGTTGTGGGAGCAGCAGTAGTAGGGGCTGCAGTTGTTGGAATTACAGTTGTCGATGCTGCAGTTATAGGACCTGTAGTTGTGGGAGCAGCTGTTGTAGGGAATGCAGTGGTTGGGGCCACAGTTGTCTGAATTACAGTAGTGGGGGCTGCAGTTGTCGGGGCTGCAGTTGTCGGGGCTGCAGTTGAGGGGGCTGCAGTTGTGGGAGCAGCAGTTGTCGATGCTGCAGTTGTAGGACCTGTAGTTGTGGGAGCAGCTGTTGTAGGGGCTGTAGTTGTGGGTGCTGCAGTTGTTGGGGCTGCAGTTGTGGGAGAAGCTGTTGTAGGGACTAAAGTAGTGGGGGCTGCAGTTGTCAGGGCTGCAGTTGTTGGGGCTGCAGTTGTAGGACCTGTAGTTGTGGGAGCAGCTGTTATAGGGGCTAAAGTAGTGGGGGCTGCAGTTGTGGGGGCTCCATTTGTCAGAACTACAGTAGTGGGGGCTGCAGTTGTGAGACCTGTAGTTGTTGGAGCAGTAGTTGTAGGGGCTGCAGTTGTAGGAACTACAGTTGTTGTGGCTGCAGTTGTAGGACCTGTAGTTGTTGGAGCAGTAGTTGTAGGGGCTGCAGTTGTAGGAACTACAGTTGTTGTGGCTGCAGTTGTAGGACCTGTAGTTGTGGGAGCAGCTGTTGTAGGGGCCGCAGTAGTGGGGGCAGCAGTTGTCGGAACTACAGTAGTTGGGGCTGTAGTTGTTGGGGCCACAGTTGTAGGACCTATAGTTATGGGAACAGCCGTTGTAGGGGCGACAGTAGTGGGGGCAGCAGTTGTCGGAACTACAGTAGTTGGGGCTGTTGTTGTTGGGGCCACAGTTGTAGGACCTATAGTTATGGGAACAGCCGTTGTAGGGGCGACAGTAGTGGGGGCAGCAGTTGTCGGAACTACAGTAGTTGGGGCTGTTGTTGTTGGGGCCACAGTTGTAGGACCTATAGTTATGGGAACAGCCGTTGTAGGGGCGACAGTAGTGGGGGCCACAGTTGTCAGAACTACAGTAGTAGGGTCTGCAGTTGTCGTGGTTGCAGTTGCAGGACCTGTAGTTGTGGGAGCAGCTGTTGTAGGGAATGCAGTGGTTGGGGCCACAGTTGTCTGAACTACATTAGTGGGGGCTGCAGTTGTCGGGGCTGCAGTTGAGGGGGCTGCAGTTGTGAAGGCTGCAGTTGTCGGGGCTGCAGTTGTCGGGGCTGCAGTTGAGGGGGCTGCAGTTGTCGGGGCTGCAGTTGTGAAGGCTGCAGTTGTGGGACCGGCAGGTGTCGATGCTGCAGTTGTAGGACCTGTAGTTGTGGGAGCAGCTGTTGTAGGGGCTGTAGTTGTGGGGGCTGCAGTTGTTGGGGCTGCAGTTGTGGGAGAAGCTGTTGTAGGGACTAAAGTAGTGGGGGCTGCAGTTGTTGGGGCTGCAGTTGTAGGACCTGTAGTTGTGGGAGCAGCTGTTATAGGGGCTAAAGTAGTGGGGGCTGCAGTTGTGGGGACTCCAGTTGTCAGAACTACAGTAGTGGGGGCTGCAGTTGTGAGACCTGTAGTTGTTGGAGTAGTAGTTGTAGGGGCTGCAGTTGTAGGAACTACAGTTGTTGTGGCTGCAGTTGTAGGACCTGTAGTTGTGGGAGCAGCTGTTATAGGGGCTAAAGTAGTGGGGGCTGCAGTTGTGGGGACTCCAGTTGTCAGAACTACAGTAGTGGGGGCTGCAGTTGTGAGACCTGTAGTTGTTGGAGTAGTAGTTGTAGGGGCTGCAGTTGTAGGAACTACAGTTGTTGTGGCTGCAGTTGTAGGACCTGTAGTTGTGGGAGCAGCTGTTGTAGGGGCCGCAGTAGTGGGGGCAGCAGTTGTCGGAACTACAGTAGTTGGGGCTGTAGTTGTTGGGGCCACAGTTGTAGGACCTATAGTTATGGGAACAGCCGTTGTAGGGGCGACAGTAGTGGGGGCTGCAGTTGTCGGAACTACAGTAGTTGCTTTTGGAAAACAAAAGCAATGAGGAAGTGTTAGAAACATCCAAAAAGTGTCCATTGTTTGTTCAACAAATGGCGCTTTTCCACCGCAGGACCTAGCACGGCTTAACACGGCTTAGTTTGGCCTTGGTAGGCCAGGCTCACTTTAAGCTGCGTTTCCATTACAGTTAGTAACTGGGGTAGTAACTATAGTAACGACGCAGTGTAGGCGGGGCGATCGGCTGTTTGGCGGGCGGAGCGACGCTGCGTAAAACTGCCATGACGTCATCTTCAATGCGACACAACTCACCAACACCATAACAATGGAGGATTATGGAAGCGATCGTGTACTTGGCTCTTGATTTTGATCACAGCAAGGAGGCAAACTTTGTTTCGGAAAAGGCTGCGTATAGCAAGACGAAATACAGAAGAAGCTAACAGGAGAGTTTGGGCAATCATACAACGCAGCAGAGACGACAAGACGACTGATCACTACAAAACGACAACGCTACTTGGAAAGCTAACGTTCGCTAACTAGCAATGTGTTCAGGGTCACGCTCACTATACGACCAGTGTTTCAAGTATTTAATTAATTGTAGCTACCACCTTTACGTATTAAAATATGTATGCTTTTTTATGTGTATTTCAGAAGTTATACCATTTGCAAAGTCGCCGCCGCAGACCTTGTGTTTGGACGTTCAACCGAGCTACCGAGTGGTGGGGTGTGATTATTCCATCTTTCACACACACTCAGTGGGTGCAGAACTTCAGGACGTCTGAGGAAACCTACACCAGTCTGTGCAACAAATGTCATGGAGAGGCCTATGATGATGAATGGGATGCAGCAGCAGCAGAGACTGGGGTAGCAGTGGCTCAAGGTGCAGAGGAGGAGGGCAGGGACATTCGAGAGGGTCTGATGCACTAATTTAATAGCAACACATTCATTGTACTGATTGTAAATTGTATTGAAGATTAATCAATATTTTTTACTCTTTCACATATACATGTTTGTCAAATGATTTAAAAAAAATATGTTATCAGAATTGACTATTTAGTAAATATTTGAATTGCAAGCACCTGTAAGTACTGCCCCATAATAAGAACATTTGAGAAAATAACAGATCATGAAAAGAAAATCTTTCTAATAAATTAAGAAAGTTGTTTTGTGGTCTGTTTTTTGTTTGTTTAGAATCTAAACAAACAAAACAGACCACAAAACAACTTTAGATCTACTATTAACACAGAGGAAATCACAATAAAAATACTTCTTACAAACAAACAGTTTAATCATCAAACAAGTGCAAATAACAAAGCAAACTATAAAAATAAATACAAAAGTGTAAAACACAGCAAAACTATATACATAAATGCAAGTGTAAAAGGCCACTACGGCCAGCGGCAGGTGCCGTTCCTGCTGGGCCAGATCTGCACTGTGCATCTCCCTCAGGACTGTGAGGTGCTCCTCTCCTCGCTTCCTCTTGCCTGGAAGACAATAAGATAAGATAAACCTTTTTTAATCACTGTAGGGAAATTCAGGTGTTATAGCAGCAACAGAAATAAGAATGAAAAACACAGGACAGGTAAAGGTCACATAAGGATATAAGAATAACATATATAAGTATAAACAGAACAACAGTAAGGATGAACGAAAGACAGTTCTGGCCCTAGATGTTTACAATGATTGTGAAAGTGAATTACATTATGTCCAGCCTGTTGGTAATGAATATAAATATATGTATACATATGTATGAGTATGTACAAATATACAGTCATGAAGTAAATGGATAATACAAATGAGTATAAGTATGAATAAATATGAGACCAGTTTAAAGTGCAAACATCTAAAACAAAGCACAGTCCAAAATAAGTGGAAAGCAGTGCAGGTCCATGTGTCTGCTGCACAATACTTAACAATGAACAATATACAAGAATATATTAGGATGTCACACATAATTTTACTAGCTGCAACTTTAATAGTGATTCTTACTACTTTTACTTTTGGTACGTTGGTAGTCACAATGGCATCTAGAACAGCATACATGAGTTGTTAATTCCACAAACTACTGCAGCACAATACTAAATAGCAACAACAACTCTAGAAAACTGGACCTAAACAATGATACATATGGTGTTGTTAGCAAACAATAGCTCTAGCTAATGCTATCTGTGCTATCCGTAGCTCTTCGGGGCTCCATAAAAGCATGGGTTGTCGAACATAAATGTAAGGATAAAATAGGTTTGTTTGTTAGAAATTAGCTTTACAATAGATAGCGACACAGCGCTTTCAAGCAAAGAACAGAGCGTTAGCAAACACTTACCATCCTGCATAGCCGAGTCCAGGCGTCGTTTCGCGTTGCACCGTCGAGCTCCCACTGTATTCTTTCATCCGCAACGAGATTGAGTAACGTCTGTACCTCGTCAAACGACCACGGCGTGTTTTTGTTGTTGCTACCATTTCTTTATGGATTTGTTGACGGTAGCTTGTCTGTTTTAGAAATGGTGCTTATGCGATGCTTGGAGACTGTCTCGCCAAATAATTGTGACGATTCTCTCTGACCAATCAGCAGTCAACAGTGTTTACGTCACTAGTTTAGCATATTCAGCTCGGTTGTTGGCTCGGTAAGAACCTCGATTTTGGTGGCCCTGAAAAAAGGTGAAAAAGTAGCCCTGAGCCGGAACTACCCCTAGTGGAAAAGCAAAAAAAAGTGGGCCGGGTTTGGCCTGGCCTGCTTAAACCGTGCTACATGCTGCAGTGGAAAAGCGCCATTAGATAAAACATCTCACAAGCTATTTTCCACGTTTGATTTCTCATGGTCCGCAAAAATTACTAAATGTTTTATTCAGTCCAATTAAGTCAATGTATTTATTTTCCACTGTTAATTCCTTATGTGTGACCTTTTTATTCTATACCCGTAAACTTAAGACTTGACAACCTGAGTGGCAAAAGCAACAGAGAGCACACATACAATTTATTTGAGTTATTATGGGGTGACATTTGTGCCAAAATCATATTGCAGGTGTCCATGTGATGAACATGGTACAAAACATGTGTCTTGACCAGATTTTACTCCAATAGGAGCACTACCTCCAGGGGTACTTTGGAGCACTGCACGTGGTACGTAAGCTCATTTAAAAATGTTCATTAAAAAACACATCAGATAATAATAGTACCTAAAAACGATACGATCGTCAACTTCCATAAACTGTCAAGGACAATCAGGAAATGTATCCATGATAAACATAGGATTAATAAAGCTGAAAACATTAGCCGCTTTCACACCAAGTACTTTGCCGTACTTAGTTCACAGTACTTAGTCCCGCCGAACTCTTTAGTCCCGTAACTGTCCTAGTAAATCGCGTTCACACCGGAATGCTCTCTAGCGGGGACTAAAAAGGGGTGAAAAGGTTCGCAAAAAAAAGTTCTAGTTCCAGATCTTTTTGGTGTGAACGCAAAATCCCAGGAACTATCGGAACTATTCCTGGGAAAAGTACTCCGGTGTGAAAACGCCTAATGAGACCCAAAGTTAAACAGAAGCCCATGTTTTTCATTAAATTGACCGATAACCTCATCTAAAACTTACATGCTAAATGTTTGTTTTACTGTTATTACATTATGAAAGAAAAGTAGATTTTTCGTCCTTGCAAATTTTAAATGTAAAATCTTCTAAGGTGAGTCCACTACCGTTACAGCGGAACATCAGTGATTATGTGTTACAATGGCGTTAGCAACCAGAAAATGACACCAGTAAGGACAAACAGATGAGAATGCTGCGTGGGGTCTGGGTGCTGTGTTGGCGGGACGTTGCGCGGCTCGCTGCTGCGAGGAGCGGACAGTGTGAGCTGGGTTCATTTCCTGCTTGCTGCGTGGGATCTGCGAGACAGCGAATGAACGCGGGAAGTGGGGGGGTGCTGAGGGGGCTGCAGCACCCCCATCTGCGCGGCTCCACTAGCACCCGCACCCCCAAACACGGCCGCTTTACGGCTGCGCCGCGGCGTTCACAGCGATCGCGGCCACTCTAGTCAATGGGTGCTATTCCACCAGACGCGCCGCGTTACGGCTAGAAGCGTCCCAGAAGCGTCCCAGAAGCGCAAGTCTATTTTTGACGCGACGCGTTGCATAGCGCCGGGCAGGAAGTGGAACGGTCAGAGAATCCAGTCAATCCCCAAAATAACCTAATTTTGCAGACCCTATCCCTCCGTAGTCTTTCAAGTAGGAGAAATGCCAGCATTCTTCTCCGGTTTACAGGCACTGTGTAAATTGTATATAGAATAATTATGATGATGAATGCATTTTGTTATCAGTTCGCTAGCATCCCCCCCCCCCCCCCCCCCCCCCGTCGACAATTAACTAGCCCCCCCCCCCAATCACGTGACCAGAAATTATGCAAGCTCCTCCCATTTCTCATTGCCTGTGAAAGAGGGATGTAACAACAGATGCTTGTCAAAGTACATTTTCTAGATGTCAGCTTTATCGGCTGTCATGTCAAAAAAAATTATCCAGGTTTAAACATATATTGTATATGTTGATGTGTTGGCAGCGTATTAAACCATGTGAATCATTAAGCTAAAGATGACTCTGAATTTTAATGCTAAGCTATTTTTTCTAAAATGGTGGCTATGGGGTAAAGTGAACCATGGGCCTTGGGGTAAGTTGAGCCAGTTTTTCAATGGAGAAATTAGTGAAAGGCCAAGTTGATAATAAGAGCTCATTATAGGCTACATTTAAAGTTGAATTTACCCTGTGTTTGATTGGTAAGATGTATGAAATGGTATCACCATTTGTATGATTACTTTTCCTTTTAACATGTAAAATAAAAAATCAATCAATTCAATCGAAATTTATATTAAAAATATTTGAAAAACTAAACTTGTATTTGGTTTGTTATTTATTATTTAAAGTTACCTTTAAGATTTGTTGTAGGTATGCCCAGGTTTGAACAGGTATGCCCAGGTTTGAACAGTGGTTCAATAGAATAGAATTGGGAGGGATGAAACCCTCTTTAATGGTCACACATGCAGAGCACACAGCACACACACAGTGAAATTTGTTCTCTGCTTTTAACCCATCCTAGTACCAGGAGTCTAGTACTAGGAGCAGTGGGCAGCTATTGTACAGCGCCCGGGGAGCAATGGGAGTGAGGGGGGGAAGGGGGATGTCCGGTGCCTTGCTCAAGGGCACCACGGCAGGGCAGGAGGTGAACTGGGACCTCTCCAAGTAGAAGTCCACACTCCATATTTTAGGTCTGGTCGGGGACTTGAACCGGCGACCCTACGGCTCACAGTCCAAGCCCCTACTGACTGAGCCACTGCCGGACAATTTACCCCCTGACCTGGATCAACTGCCCTAACCCGGGGCAAGTTGAGCCACATTTTTTTTTAGAAGTAATATTTTCACTGCCCTTGATCAAATATTAATTCTTATCATTGCCATTGATAGGAGACATCCTGAATTATAGGTGTGTGCTTTCATTTTACTATGTGTCATTTCTCCTTGCTTAGAGGACAGCATAACTCAAAAATAGCTCAACTTACCCCACTCTCCCCTATGTTATAAAAAATTAAAAGACTAATAGTTTAGATTTGTTTGCAAGTTATACGTTTTACTTTTGAGAAGTTTTTGTATCTTTCTCAAATGCTTATTTTTGCTTGATACTGAAGAGTTTTTGCTAGATCTTAATGGCACAAACCTGATTCAATAGTCTTCCTCCAAATTTAGAGCATGGGGATTGGTTGACGGACGCTTCCTAAAAATGTCTTTGAGGGTTCAGATTGTGGGTTTGAGCTTCCTAATGTACTATGCCATTTTTAAAAGTATTTAAGAAACAAACATACAAAACGTTATAGCCATAAAAAATATAACTTGAATAGTTACTTTGTCCGGAAGCTGCATAAAAATGTCCAAGCAAAAATATCCAACAAAGGATTTTAATTTCCATGGTTAGAGATGTTACTTCCCACAACTCCCTGTCAAGAGAAATATTGCAATGATTGCAAGTTGTTTGTGATTCAGTCCTCACTCCGCATTGGAGGGAGTGCCTACGTTTTGACAGCTGTTATTTCCATATAACCTGAAAAACCAGGTAACACACACACACACACACACACACACACACACACACACACACACACACACACACACACACACACACACACACACACACACACACATACACACACACACACACACACACACGTTGACAGACTATATGACACTACAAACTAAATCATAACACACACATCATACAATTGAATAAATCAACAATGATGTATTTTTGATAGCAGTACAGATAATGGTTTACTGATATAGAACATTGTACCAAAACACTGCCGTAGTATATAAACAATATACTCTTGTATGAAATATATATTTGTTATGAGTGATATTAGTTTTTAATAACTTTTCCTATTGCATGACAATGTAATGATTTAAACACATTGCAAGACATTTGCCAACTCATGTATTAATAGACATTATTTTCTCCATAACAAATATAAATACAGAAGAACCTGTAGGGGGTAATTTATACTTGTATTCATTTGAATGCATACAAAAAAACATTTACTAAAAACATATACAAGACCCTTTTCTACCCTTTTCATATGAACAACTTATTATGTAAAGTAAGACATAGGGGAAATATAAACTACCAACAAAGGTGCAAGTGTAAAATATAGACAATGCAAAAATATTAACAAAGGTGGTTAAAGATAAGGATCACAAGTTGCTCTCAACTCAGGTTACTTCATGATCATAAAAATAACTATGGGACGCTTCTCATATATATCTATGATTAACTCATTAAACATAGATGTATATGAAAAGTGTCATATACAGTAGCTATGTTTGTACAATATTACATTTCTACAGGTACATGTATATTAAACAATTTCAATATTTATTTCTATTGTAGTGCACCTATTGTACAATTTGTTGCCCTTCATGCTCCATTACGTTACATCACATGTTGGAGTGAGAGTCGTTGATACTTGCTGTGCATCACAGCGTCCTCCTCGCTGACACCACAGGCACCACATAAAGGCAAGTGCCACCCGCTGGAGTAAAGCAGCCCATTCATATTCTGGTTTTCCAATTAAATGGAAAGACAAATTCCATAAGCTAAATATATATATATATATATATATATATATATTCTTTATTTATTTATTTTTTTATTGATGGTGCAAAGCAAAATAAATTCCCATTCAATACACATAACATTTTGCTACATTTTGTCAGTACTGTTTAACAGGCCATTCATTTGGTGTACAATTGTCAAACATTGTAACAGGGCTCTAACTGGGGTTAGATTTTGTGTGAAACGTTGCACGGTTAAAAGGAGGAGTCATAATATTTATATACTAAGATAGTTTCCTGGTTACCAGACTTGTCACCATGGCAGCTGCTCCTTTAATTTCAGAGCATGGGAATGTATTACCACCTCTTAAAACCTCTTTGACTGTTCAGATGGTGGGTTAGAGCTTCCTATTGTACTGTGCAATTCATTTGACACTTGAGCCTAATACACTAACTCACCTTTCGCATTCCGGGAAATAAAGCACACACAAGAATATTGTTTGGTTAAAAGTGAAAATGGGTCTTAAGGAGAGAAAGTGTTTTTTAATCAGATTTAGTTCATATAGAAAGATCATAAAGAAAACATAAGAGGGGGGTGTGAGCCTAAAATCTAAGCCTTTGACTTTGATCAAACACACCGTCTCTTGCAACTAAGAGTGATTTGGAGAATAGTGCAACATATTGGAGTACAATGACAATTAATACGTTGTGCACAAGCTGAAAACAATATAAACAAATTAAAGACTCTTTCCTGATATGATGAAATTGTTGAGTTCTGTCATTATAAATCTACATGAAGTTTCTATGGGGACACTTGAACCCTTTGAAGGTTTGTCACGGTAACTGTGTGGGCTGTTCCACTCGGGAGCTGGTCACCAAAAAACTAAATGGACAGAAAACAGAATAAACGACAGAAGTTATATTTCATTCCTTTCATTAATTATGTTGAGTGAGGAGCCTTCACATAAAAGCTATACGTCAAATACTGTTTTACATACCTGTTTAACAAGTGCAATAATGGTTCCATTGCTGACATCCCCAAAGGTAGTAATCCTCATCTGTAGGTGTGCCAGTGATAAACCTGATGGGATAAAATCACATAATATGGAAATAAATACATTAATCATTCATGTGTCAACATAAAGTTGAAAGAGAAGGGGAAAATACAAAATTGGAGTCAAGTACCCTGTGATGGTGGTTCTTCTGGAGTCGATATGATTAGGGTTGTTGAAGGGGTTAGAGTTGTTGGGGCTGCAGTCGTTGCAACTTCAGTTGTGGAGGAGACAGTTGTGGGGACTGCAGTTGTAGTGGTTGTTGTTGTGGGGACTGCAGTTGTGGGGGCTACAGTTGTGGGGGCTGCAGTTGTGGGAGCTACATTTGTTGGGACTACAGTTGTAGTGGTTGCAGTTGTAGTGGTTGCAGTTGTGGGGACTGCAGTTGTGGGGGCTACAGTTGTGGTGACTGCAGTTGTAGTGGCAGCAGTTGTGGGGACTGCAGTTGTGGGGGTTGCAGTTGTTGGGACTTCAGTTATGGTGGCTATAGTTGTGGAGGCTGGAGTTGTGGAGGCTGTACTCGTAGGAGCTGAAGTTGTGGAGGCTGCAGTTGTAGTTGTTACAGTTGTGGGGGCTACAGTTGTGGGGGTTGCAGTTGTTGCGACTTCAGTTGTGGAGGAGGCAATTGTGGGGACTGCAGTTGTAGTGGTTGCAGTTGTGGGGGCTACAGTTGTGGGGGTTGCAGTTGTCGTGGCTACAGTTGTGGGGTTTGCAGGTGTGGGAGCTACAGTTGTGGGGACTGCAGTTGTAGTGGTTGCAGTTGTGGGGGCTACAGTTGTGGTGACTGCAGTTGTAGGAGTTGTAATTGTTGCGACTTCAGTTGTGGTTGTTGCAGTTGTGGAGACTGGAGTTGTGGAGGCTGCAATCGTGGGCTCTCCAGTTGTGGAGGGTGCAGTTGCAGTTGTAACAGTAGTGGGGGCTACAGTTGTGGGGGTTGCACTTGTAGGAGCTGCAGTTGTTGCAACTTCAGTTGTTGCAGTTGTGGAGGCTGGAGTTGTGGAGGCTGTAGTCGTAGGCTCTCGAGTTGTGGGGGTTGCACTTGTAGGAGCTGCAGTTGTTGCAACTTCAGTTGTTGCAGTTGTGGAGGCTGGAGTTGTGGAGGCTGTAGTCGTAGGCTCTCGAGTTGTGGAGGGTGCAGTTGTAGTTATTACAGTTATGGAGGCTGCAGTCGTATGCTCTCCAATTATGGAGGGTGCATTTGTACTTGTTACAGTAGTGGGGGCTACAGTTGTGGTTGTTGCAGTTGTGGAGACTGGAGTTGCTGCAGTTGTGGGCTCTCCAGTTGTGGAGGGTGCTGTTGTAGTTGTTAAAGTTGTGGGGGCTAGAGTTGTGGGGGCTAGAGTTGTGGGGGTTGCAGTTGTAGGAGCTGCAGTTGTTGCGACTTCAGTTGTGGTGGTTGCAGTTGTGGAGGCTGGAGTTGTGGAGGCTGTAGTCGTAGGTTCTCCAGTTGTGGAGGCTGCAGTTGTAGTTGTTACCGTTGTGGGGGCTGCAGTAGTATGAAATGCAGTTGTTGTTGATGCAGTCGTGGGGCCCACAGTTGTAGGGAACCCAGTTGTAGCAGCTACAGTGGTAGGGGCTGCCGTTGTTGTAGCTGCAGTTGTATGGGCCGCGGTTGTGGGGGCTTCTGTTGAAGCGGTTTGAGTTGTGGGGGCTACAGTTGTGGGGGTTGCAGTTGTTGCGACTTCAGTTGTGGAGGCTGCAGTCGTAGGCTCTCGAGTTGTGGAGGGTGCAGTTGTAGTTATTACAGTTGTGGAGGCTGCAGTCGTATGCTCTCCAATTGTGGAGGATGCATTTGTAGTTGTTACAGTAGTGGGGGATACAGTTGTGGGGGTTGCAGTTGTAGGAGTTGCAATTGTTGCGACTTCAGTTGTGGTTGTTGCAGTTGTGGCGACTGGAGTTGTGAAGGCTGCAGTCGTGGGCTCTCCAGTTGTGGAGGGTGCAGTTGCAGTTGTAACAGTAGTGGGGGCTACAGTTGTGGGGGTTGCACTTGTAGGAGCTGCAGTTGTTGCGACTTCAGTTGTGGTGGTTGCAGTTGTGGAGGCTGGAGTTGTGGAGGCTGTAGTCGTAGGTTCTCCAGTTGTGGAGGCTGCAGTTGTAGTTATTACCGTTGTGGGGGCTGCAGTAGTATGAAATGCAGTTGTTCTTGATGCAGTCGTGGGGTCCACAGTTGTAGGGAACCCAGTTGTAGCAGCTACAGTGGTAGGGGCTGCCGTTGTTGTAGCTGCAGTTGTATGTGCCGCGGTTGTGGGGGCTTCTGTTGAAGCGGTTTGAGTTGTTGGGGCTGCAGTTGTTGCGACTTCAGTTGTAGTAGTTGCAGTTGTAGAAGCTGCAGTTGTAGGAGTTGCAGTTGTGGAGGCTGCAGTTATGGAGGCTGCACTCGTAGGAGCTGAAGTTGTGGAGGCTGCAGTTGTAGTTGTTACAGTTGTGGGGGCTACAGTTGTGGGGGTTGCAGTTGTTGCGACTTCAGTTGTTGTGGTTGCAGTTGTGGAGGCTGCAGTCGTATGCTCTCCAAATGTGGAGGGTGCATTTGTACTTGTTACAGTAGTGGGGGCTACAGTTGTAGGAGCTGCAGTTGTAGGAGCTGCAGTTGTTGCGACCTCAGTTGTGGTTGTTGCAGTTGTGGAGAATGGAGTTGCTGCAGTCGTGGGCTCTCCAGTTGTGGAGGGTGCAGTTGTAGTTATTACAGTTGTGGAGGCTGCAGTCGTATGCTCTCCAAATGTGGAGGGTGCATTTGTACTTGTTACAGTAGTGGGGGCTACAGTTGTAGGAGCTGCAGTTGTAGGAGCTGCAGTTGTTGCGACCTCAGTTGTGGTTGTTGCAGTTGTGGAGAATGGAGTTGCTGCAGTCGTGGGCTCTCCAGTTGTGGAGGGTGCAGTTGCAGTTGTAACAGTAGTGGGGGCTAGAGTTGCGGGGGTTGCACTTGTAGGAGCTGCAATTGTTGCGACTTCAGTTGTGGTTGTGGCAGTTGTGGATACTGGAGTTGTGGAGGCTGCAGTCGTGGGCTCTACAGTTGTGGAGGGTGCAGTTGCAGTTCTAATAGTAGTGGGGGCTACAGTTGTGGGGGTTGCACTTGTAGGAGCTGCAGTTGTTGCGACTTCAGTTGTGCTGGTTGCAGTTCTTGAGGCTGGAGTTGTGGAGTCTACAGTCGTAGGCTCTCCAGTTGTGGTGGGTGCTGTTGTAGTTGTTACAGTTGTGGGGGCTACAGTTGTGGGGGTTGCAGTTGTAGGAGCTGCAGTTGTTGCGACTTCAGTTGTGGTGGTTGCAGTTGTGGAGGCTGGAGTCGTGGAGGCTGTAGTCGTAGGTTCTCCAGTTGTGGAGGCTGCAGTTGTATGGGCCGCGGTTGTGGGGGCTTCTGTTGAAGCGGTTTGAATTGTGGGGGCTACAGTTGTGGGGGTTGCAGTTGTTGCGACTTCAGTTGTGGTGGTTGCAGTTGTGGAGGCTGCAGTCGTATGCTCTCCAATTGTGGAGGATGCATTTGTAGTTGTTACAGTAGTGGGGGATACAGTTGTGGGGGTTGCAGTTGTAGGAGTTGCAATTGTTGCGACTTCAGTTGTGCTGGTTGCAGTTGTGGAGACTGGAGTTGTGGAGTCTACAGTCATAGGCTCTCCAGTTGTGGAGGGTGCTGTTGTAGTTGTTGTTACAGTTGTGGGGGCTACAGTTGTGGGGGTTGCAGTTGTAGGAGCTGCAGTTGTTGTGACTTCAGTTGTGGTGGTTGCAGTTGTGGAGGCTGGAGTTGTGGAGGCTGTAGTCGTAGGTTCTCCAGTTGTGGAGGCTGCAGTTGTAGTTATTACCGTTGTGGGGGCTGCAGTAGTATGAAATGCAGTTGTTCTTGATGCAGTCGTGGGGTCCACAGTTGTAGGGAACCCAGTTGTAGCAGATACAGTGGTAGGGGCTGCCGTTGTTGTAGCTGCAGTTGTATGTGCCGCGGTTGTGGGGGCTTCTGTTGAAGCGGTTTGAGTTGTTGGGGCTGCAGTTGTTGCGACTTCAGTTGTAGTGGTTGCAGTTGTAGAAGCTGCAGTCGTAGGAGTTGCAGTTGTGGAGGCTGCACTCGTAGGAGCTGCAGTTGTGGAGGCTGCACTCGTAGGAGCTGAAGTTGTGGAGGCTGCAGTTGTAGTTGTTACAGTTGTGGGGGCTACAGTTGTGGGGGTTGTGGGGGTTGCAGTTGTTGCGACTTCAGTTGTTGTGGTTGCAGTTGTGGAGGCTGCAGTCGTAGGCTCTCGAGTTGTGGAGGGTGCAGTTGTAGTTATTACAGTTGTGGAGGCTGCAGTCGTATGCTCTCCAATTGTGGAGGGTGCATTTGTACTTGTTACAGTAGTGGGGGCTACAGTTGTGGGGGTTGCAGTTGTAGGAGCTGCAGTTGTAGGAGCTGCAGTTGTTGCGACCTCAGTTGTGGTTGTTGCAGTTGTGGAGAATGGAGTTGCTGCAGTCGTGGGCTCTCCAGTTGTGGAGGGTGCAGTTGCAGTTGTAACAGTAGTGGGGGCTAGAGTTGCGGGGGTTGCACTTGTAGGAGCTGCAATTGTTGCGACTTCAGTTGTGGTTGTGGCAGTTGTGGAGACTGGAGTTGTGGAGGCTGCAGTCGTGGGCTCTCCAGTTGTGGAGGGTGCAGTTGCAGTTGTAACAGTATTGGGGGCTACAGTTGTGGGGGTTGCACTTGTAGGAGCTGCAGTTGTTGTGACTTCAGTTGTGGTGGTTGCAGTTGTGGAGGCTGGAGTTGTGGAGGCTGTAGTCGTAGGTTCTCCAGTTGTGGAGGCTGCAGTTGTAGTTATTACCGTTGTGGGGGCTGCAGTAGTATGAAATGCAGTTGTTCTTGATGCAGTCGTGGGGTCCACAGTTGTAGGGAACCCAGTTGAAGCAGATACAGTGGTAGGGGCTGCCGTTGTTGTAGCTGCAGTTGTATGTGCCGCGGTTGTGGGGGCTTCTGTTGAAGCGGTTTGAGTTGTTGGGGCTGCAGTTGTTGCGACTTCAGTTGTAGTGGTTGCAGTTGTAGAAGCTGCAGTCGTAGGAGTTGCAGTTGTGGAGGCTGCAGTTGTGGAGGCTGCACTCGTAGGAGCTGAAGTTGTGGAGGCTGCACTCGTAGGAGCTGAAGTTGTGGAGGCTGCAGTTGTAGTTGTTACAGTTGTGGGGGCTACAGTTGTGGGGGTTGCAGTTGTTGCAACTTCAGTTGTTGTGGTTGCAGTTGTGGAGGCTGCAGTCGTAGGCTCTCGAGTTGTGGAAGGTGCAGTTGTAGTTATTACAGTTGTGGAGGCTGCAGTCATATGCTCTCCAATTGTGGAGGGTGCATTTGTACTTGTTACAGTAGTGGGGGCTACAGTTGTGGGGGTTGCAGTTGTAGGAGCTGCAGTTGTAGGAGCTGCAGTTGTTGCGACTTCAGTTGTGGTTGTTGCCGTTGTTGAGAATGGAGTTGCTGCGGTCGTGGGCTCTCCAGTTGTGGAGGGTGCAGTTGCAGTTGTAACAGTAGTGGGGGCTAGAGTTGTGGGGGTTGCACTTGTAGGAGCTGCAGTTGTTGCGACTTCAGTTATGGTGGTTGCAGTTGTGGAGGCTAGAGTTGTGAAGGCTGCAGTCGTAGGCTCTCCAGTTGTGGAGGGTGCAGTTGTAGTTGTTACAGTTGTGGGGGCTACAGTTGTGGGAGTTGCAGTTGTAGGAGCTGCAGTTGTTGCGACTTCAGTTGTAGTGGTTGCAGTTGTAGAAGCTGCAGTCGTAGGGGCTATAGTTGTGGGAGCTACAGCTGTGGGTGCTACAGTTGTGAGGGTTGCACTTGTTACGACTTCAGTTATTGTGGTTCCAATTGTAGTAGGTGCAGTTGTGGGGGCTGCAATTGTGCGAGCTGCAGTTATATGGCCTTCAATTGTAGGGGTTGGAGATGTGGGGCCCGCAGTTGTGGAGGCTAAACTGGTAATACCCTCAGTTGTATGAGCTGCAGCTGTGGGTGCTACAGTTGTAGGAGCTGCAGTTGTGGGGGCTACAGTCATGGGGGCAGCTGTAGGAGCTTCACTCGTATGACCTGCAGTTGTATGAGTTGCAGTTGTTGGGGTTGTAGTTGTAGCAGATGCAGTGTTGGTGCCTGTTACTGGAGAGGTAGGGGCTGCAGTTGTGGCTGTTGAAATTAGAGATGTGGTAGTTGAAACTGGATTGGTGGGGCCTGTAGTTGTCGTGGTTGAAATTGTAGTTGAGGTGGCTGCAGGTGTAGTGGTTGAAACTGGAGTTGTGGTGGTTGCACTTGAAAATGGAGTTGGGCTGGTGGCACTTGTTGTAGATGAACCTGTAGTTGTAGTACATACAGCCATTGTGATAATATAGAATACTTTTAGAAAATATATCATATCTATAACCTAACATTTTGATGTCTCTTTATCCTTAAAGGTCCCATGTCATGGCCATTTCTACTAGGGATGCTCCGATCCGGAATTAGTATTGGCCGATACCGATCGCCGATCTGATCGAGTGGGCAGGGCCTATGGGGATCTTCCATTTAAAGTGATGTTTAAAACTCAGTTAATGGGGCTCATTCACTGGCGCTTCCACAAACAACAACCAACATAATTATTACATTCAAATTAAGTACATTATTCAAGTTTACATTAACTTTGGATAATAACACGGGAGAAATGAGCGGAAGCGCTCTCTTTTCCTCTCTCACCCTCTCTCTCTCTCCTGACAGCCTATCAATATCTCATGCAGCTCACTGATCCAGTAATGAGTGACCCGACAGTGAAGAATAAACATATTTATAACTAGTTTAGCTTGTTCCAGAGGTAGATAAAATAGCTAAGTGTGTAAGGTCTAACTCTTAATGTGTGTTCTGCTCCGCTCACCGGTCCGTCACAGCGGGTGGAGCTGCAGGATTTTTGCTTCACACACGTTGCATACCGCTATTTTATTGTCCTTTTCGGACACCTTAAAATACTGCCAGACTGGTGAAGCCATTTTGGCGAGCTTGTTTTGCGGCGCACTGAGAAAAGTGTCATGTATTTTACGTCAACATTTTAACATTTTTAGAGAGCACCGATCGATCGGTAGAGAGTGAGTATCGGCCGATATCGATCGGCGGCTGATCGATCGGAGCATCCCTAATTTCTACTGATCATAATTCCATTGTTGAGGTCTACTAGAATATATTTACATTGTTCAATGCTCCAAAATCACATTGGTTTTCTCATACAGCATCTCTGTATAGTATGTGTAGTCACTCTCTGTCCTACACGCTTTGTTGGAGCTCCTCCTTAAATGTCTAACTCAAAGATGATAAAACCTAGACAGATGTTGAGTGCTAAGATGTTTTGTTTTTTATAAGAATTACAATTGGATACAATGTTTAGCAGAAATACATTTCATAATGAAGAAGTGATTTGCTCAGGATTTATTTATAATCTCTTGTTATTTATTCTTCAAGGTCCTTGACAGAGGATCATTCAGAATACCATCTTGGAATTTATACAGAGCAAATGATTAAGCTCTACCACATTTTAATTAAATTATTACATTATATTTTAACAGGCTTTAGGCAAACAGTTAAATGTGTTTGCATTTTTCTAATTAATAATAGTATTACAGTTTCTAACAACAACATTTAAGTTTCAACTAAAGTTTATTTCAGAAGCGAGCAATAGTAGGCAATAACAGATAGCAATATATTGCAAAATATCAAACACAAACACATGTAAGAAAGAAAATACAACCCATACCAAAACAGTGAAAGCCATAAAGAATATCACTAATAATTACCTTGTCCAATAGCAACATAAAAATATCCAAATAAAAATATCCAACAGAGGATTTTTCTTTCCATGTTGACCAGTGTTAATTCTCACAACTCCAGGTATAGTGAAGTCCTTCGTCAATGATTACCCTCTGCGCTTAGTTTGTGAATTAGCCCTCCCTCAGCTTTGGAGGGAGTGACAAAGCTTAGGGACAGAGGTTACTTTCAAATAACCTGAAAAACCAGGCAACACAGATATGTTTACAAAATAAAAGACTCTACAAACTAAATCATTAAAAGAAACAATTGAATAAAGTATCTCAGTTATCTTTCAGCATGCAGCAATAATCCTGTTTTTATTTGTATTAGTTAACTACTGAATTAATCAGCCTTTAGTTGGAGTAGTAGTCTTTTTTTCAGTCACATTTTGGTTTTTAGTTTGAATGCTTTTCATCACTGAAATGACCCTTTTTTAAAGCTTGACAATTCACCTTGATATTTATCCTATATTTATTATGAATGATATTTGTTTGTAGTAACTATAATAATTGCATGACACTGTTACTATTATGTAAACACAACTGAACTTGAGTCACAATGTTTTCTCTATGAGAAAAAAACCAAGTAATACATCAGAAACATAAGGGGAATTATTTTTGGTTGCACTAATTTAAATGCATAAAAGCTAAACAAACTGTATTTACCAAACCGTTTTTTATAACTCCAAGAAACACTTAAAACATTTAAGAGGTTAAAACTGTCAAACTAATATTTTGCGAACATAACGATGCATACGAGTTTGATATTCCAGCAAAGATCTTCTTGGTTTTAGAACTGCTTTAGCTTGTTTCAGGAAACTGAAGATTAAATGGAATTGGGAAAACGTGGGCTATGGCCAAGGCCAAAACTAGATCAGTGTCAGTGTCAAGGTTGTCAAACAGGTTTCTTATCCTTGTAACGCTATTCCTCTCTATATCAACACATCTGCTCATACTATTCTACATTATGGTAACCTGTGCTGAGGCCCTTATTTTGTGCTAGCTTATAGAAAATAGTAATGATCTGTTGTTTCTGTGAAATAGTTAAAAAGAACAATATTGCAATACTGTCCTTAAGTACATTTTGGGGGGTATTTCCTTTTTTGTTACTTTCTAATCCTACCTTTAGGCAATATGTGTAACAAGTTACTCTGCAGATTGAGATTAATAATACAAAATATAATCAATGAATAAATTGTTATATAATTATTCAAGATTCAAGGAGTTAAACGTTTATTTGCACATGCACAACAGCTGCAGCGTAGTTGTTGGTTAGTTAAAATATTAAGTCCCAGGCTCCTCCAACAATGTAATGTACAGTATACTTAAGACATAAAAAGAAATATAGAAATAAAATAGTGCAAGAGACACAATGGTGCAAGGAACATCTAAGAATAAGTCAAATAAATACTTATACACTACTAGAATGAGATAAAACAGACTGTAAAATTAAACACTGTCATGTAAAATAAAAATACGGTATACTGTAAAAGTATATGAATATGGGGATTTGTGATAAACAACTGTGTGTACTTTAAACATAAGTACTAACATTTCATAGAGCTTAGGAGTGCAACAGTCTTATTGCCATGTGGGGAAAAATGTATCCCTGAGTCTGGTGGTCTTGGCCCAGATACTGCAGTTCGATCTGCCAGACAGCAGATTTTATTAGATTTTATTTTTTTTATTTGATTTGCAGACATAAAATTATGCACATATTAATGCATCAATAATTTAAATATTTTCTTATAATTTATAATATTTCAAAATGTTTCATTCTGCACGAAGAATATTTTGAAAATGTTCTACTTTGAGTAGGCTATATATTAAGCGTATAATGTTGCATTATACATTTTAATGCAGGACTTGACATTTGACCGGTTAGGGCTATTTCTACATCTTACTCAACCACTGGATAGTAGCCTTCAGGCTGTTTGCGGCACTAAATTATAGTGGGTGGCACAGTAAATTAACACCTACGTCACTTCCGGGCGAAAATTACGGCCCCACCCACTTTTTGGGGAAAACAACGCTGTCATTTGAATGGCGGTCAATACAAATTCTGAAGTTTTTGCCAATCCGATCAGAATTTTTTGAAAACCGTGGATTTTTGGATCTTCAAAGAGCCCGATTACGATGGCCAGTCAGGCAAACAATTACATTCAATCATTTGAAATCGACGATCGGTCTCGATTAGGGTTGCAAGGGGGCGGACATTTCTGGTACATTTCCGGAAGGTTTCCATGGGAAGTTAAGCTGGGGAATTTTGGAAATATTCGATGCAAAATTAAACAAAAAACATGACATTTCAACAGATTTCTTTTTTTTTAAATTCTTTTTTTTTTTTAAGTAGAACAGAACAAGTTTTAATTATTTTATTGAACAATTATTTGTTTCATTGAAGAACGAAAACAGGAATGTTGAGTTAAATATTACTCATCCCCCCCAACTCATTAAAAAATGAACAAAAATGCACCCCCCATCCAAAAATCCCCAAAAAGTCCCATTAAACATGCAAATCTTCCTTCAAGAAATCCTCTGCATTTTTTACCCTTTCAGTCAACGGGCTCTTCCTGGGCCTCATCAACATCCAACTCTGAGTCTTCCTCTTCAGGGTCACTGTCCAGCCTTGTTGAGGATGGCTCTGTGTCAGGCTCAAAGAGCCTTAGGTTTGCCCGAATGCCAACCAGTTTTTCCACTCTCACATTTGTGAGCCTGTTGCGAACCTTTGTGTGGTCTCAATAGCCATGCAGTAAGCAGTGTGCTATGGCATGGATATTCAAGTGTACTTGAATGGCATCTGTTTGTTTTAGTCAAGATTATGCTAAAATATACTTTCCCCAACTATATTTAAGTTCCCTATGAAGAGCCAACCTTCAATTTTGAAAATTCCCAGTTTATTCCCATAAATTCCTGTTAATTCCCGTTAATTCCCATGGAAAGTTTCCATCTTTGAAAATTCCCGGAATTTTGCAACCCTAGTCTCGATATATGGTTAAATTAAAATCAGTAGGCGAGGCTGTAATTTCTCCAGCTGTTACTCTCATGAGCGAGGCAGAAAATAATAGTTTCATGCCAAAAAGCTTCTGTGTCGTTTATTGCACCTCAAACATTAAAACAGAGTTCAGTGTTTCTGTACTTCCTCTAAGAAAAAAGGACAGTACTGTAAAAGAAGAGCTCTGTGGCTTCAGGCCTGATCGCCATTCAAATGACAGCGTTGCCTCCCCCAAAAGTGGGCGGGGCTGTAGATGTTACTCTCATCTATGAAAATCAATAGCCTACTGCTATATTTAACCATATATCGAGCCCGATCGTCGATTTCCAATGGCTTAATGTAATTGTTTGCCTGACTGGCCATTGTAATCGGGCTCTTTGAAGATCCAAAAATCCACGGTTTTCTTAAATTTCGGATCGGATTGGCAAAGACTTCAGAATTTGTATTGACCGCCATTCAAATTACAGCGTTGTTTTCCCCCAAAGGTGGGCGGAGCCGTACTTTTTGCCCGGAAGTGATGCATTTGTTACTCTCATACTTCCCGAGGCTAGGAAGTATTCTTGCCTCGCTTCTGAAGCAAGACGCTCGGAAGACGTGCTACCAAGCAAACGTACTCGACATTGAGAAACACCCACAATGTCGAGTAAACCTGCTGCAGAGCCACTATTTCAAGTATACTACGTGGACTGTTTAAATGCATGTTAAATGCCCAGCATTCGGCGCCACTCGATGACGTAGTATACTTGAAATAGTGGGTGTTTCTCAATGTCGAGTACGCTTGCTTGGTAGCACATGTCTTCCGAGTCACTTGCTTCAGAAGCGAGGCAAGAATACTTCCTGGCATTCAGAAAACGAAGAGTGGAACAGGCGAGCAAGTGTGCAGGTGTGCGTCATATGAGAGGCCCCGCCTTACATTTTCCGCCAGAGATTTGGGGAAATTGGTCCGTGCGCAAAGCATTGTGGGGATTTTAAGACCGCGGAGTCTACACATGTGCAGCCTCAACATTTCTCGCTACGAAGTACGCCGGGCTCGGTAGAATTCCAAGTATGCTGGACATTGGAACAGTCCTTCGGCGGCACTCGATGACGTAGTATGCTTGAAATAGTGGCTCTGGAGCAGCTTTACTCGACATTGAGAAACACCCAGTGGCTCTGCAGCAGGTATACTCGACATTGAGAAATGGCAGTGACGCGTCCTAAAACCCGTAAGTAAACTTCTTCCGGTTCCTTCGACAAAAACCAATGCAATTTCTCCATAGGATTTTGGAAAATAGCTCGAAATAAGGTCTGTGGTTGACACAAATTGAAGAGACAGATCACGTTTTGTTCAGCCGGATAATATCCACATGTCTACCCTACTTTTATAATTTTCGAATCATAAATCTATCGATCATAAATCTATCGATTAGATTGGCACTCTATACCTCCTGGGTTTTAGGCGACGGAAGTGACGTAATCTTGGATGAGAAGTCGGCAACTTTTGCAGCAACTGACAGCACATCTGGTAGTAAAAGTAGACACATTTAATTTCATTTTGCATGGGCTCTTCGCGACTCTGGAGTCCTGCAGGAATCCGAAGGACAGTGAACAGGAGTGAGAGGGAGCACACTCCCTCTCAAAAGGGATCTCCCCCCTTTTTTTTAAATAAACCTCGTACTGTGTGTGTCACTGTAATCCGAAATCAAACGCACTCAGTGGCTTTCTGAGTGTTAAATCCCATCTCTATTGCTCTAATACGTCTTCTTTTGTTTTGAATTAATTAATGTTTCAGTTGAAGGATTTTGGTTCCTATGTGCATTTGTTTCTTCTGACAGTTTCAGTGTAACACAACTTGCGCATGCGCACTTTTCCGTGTGTGGTGGCAAAAGGTTGTCGAGTTTTCTGCTAAAGCTAAACTTTGCAGAATTAAAATGATAGCATGGTTTTGTGTTACTAGAAACAGCGGCGCCTTGTTCATGCAAAACTATTGGAATATACTCCGTTTTTACGAAGGAAAAAGTCCACGTCCCAGTTTGTTAGCATAACTAACTAGCGTGTGTTTTGCTAGCTAGCATGCAGGGCAACGTTGTGAATCTAAATAACGCTTAACTGTATTGAATGGACTCCAAGTAATTACATTCTTACATTTATTTCTCTGAGACACATTTCATACTTTCTAGAGTTTGCTTACAGCTCAATCGTTCTTTATATAGTCAACAGCTGCTGTATTTTTATCTTTGACTTGCACAATAATGTGACTGCAGTCCCGTGGAATCAGAATGGACAGGGACTTGTTGAGGCAGTGTCTGACATATCATGGAGAATCATTGTTCAACAAACTCAAATGTGAACAAATAGAAAACCCAGACTTCCAGGCTGTGGTGTCTGACCTGTGCAAGGCCACGTGTGAAAGGTATTTCATCCTGTTCCCTTTTTTTTTGTTTAGTTGTGAATATATTTAAACTTTGCATATTGACGTTCATACACCATAGTTTGAACTTCCATTTAAACTTTTCCTGTAGAAAAACTTCCTACATTTGTACATACAATATTTTGTGATTTTGTACCTACAATTTTAGTTTTTCATCTTTTATTTTATTAATCTCTTGACTCTTTGTTGGTGTCACTTAATGTTGCAACTAACAATTATGTTCATTATCAACAAATAACGCAATTGTTTCCTTGCATTCCTTGAAAGTGTGAATAGTGTCACAATTTCCTTAATTCCAAAGGCTGACTTCCTTGATTGTCTGACCAGCAGTTCCAAGCCAAAACATGTTAAGTTAAAATCTTTAAATTAATGAATATTTGGCATTTTTGCTTGGAAAAAGTCGGAATTATATTAAAATAATGGTCTTTTAATTTGTATTTTTGGTTGAACCATCTCTTTAAATCCTTTTCTTTCAGTGGTAGGCTTCTTTCGAGGATATCTTTATTACTTATAGGATGGATGGATATTGTATTTGTTTTTTGTGTTGGTAATCTGACGCCTCTTGTGATTGCCCTGCGAAGCCTCTGGATCTCTAAAACAAAGATGTTGTGATTTCATATTGTGAATTTGTCGCTTGAAGAAGGCCCATAACTGAACAGTTTCCTCTCCCTGTGCATCTGTATACCATGAGTTCATGATAACAATAATGGATCATTCCTGATATTGTACCGCTTTGTCTCTTTCCTCTGGCTTTTGTATCGGGAAGAAGCAAGGAAAGGAATCGAGGATGTACAAACTAGTCAATGGAAAAGGTGTGACGGTTATTTGCTTAAAAGCCTCTAATAAACAGTGACAATGTTTGTTTTTTGTGCAGCAAGAGTGATGGGCAGGACAGCCCCCTTGTTGAGCAGTTCATTGCCAGAAAGGCTGACATCCTGTTCTGTCCAACATGGAAAACAGCCACTCATAAAGAAGAGGAGCAGGAGGAGGAGGAGGAGGAGGAGGATGCCACAGGTTTGTGTTTAACTACAACACTCAGCGTTCGTCCACATTACGCTCCCAATTTTTATATAAAATAAATAATAATATGATTATAATAATAATAATAATTGGATTTGTACCATTCGTCACACAGCTCGAGGTCTTTTTTCATACTTCTGCTTGAGACTTAAAACAAATGGTTGAATACGATGTGAGGGTCTAAAGGACAGAGGGTGTCATTTTTCTCATACTGATATTCTGCACAAACTGTGCTGTTGTATTTGCTGTAAAGTGTCTTTACTCTAGGGTATTTTTATTATATGTACAGCACTTTGGCTCGACCAAAAATCGTTTAAAAATGTGCTATATAAATAAAACTTGATTTGATTTGATACCACATTAAGACACAATGAAATGGCTACTATGGGCACTAACATCATCACACATGAGAACAATTAGCGTCATTGAATCCACAACAGTCTCAGCTTTTCCCACTTTATACAAACCCAAGAGTGTCAAGGTGCTCCTGCTTGCAGAAACAATTTTGAGATTAGGTGAAAATAACTTGTTTATGCTGCATGCACAAAACTGCATGATTTTAGATACACAGGACTCCAGTGAATATGGCCATGCCATCTTTTGAGCATTATTAAGCATCCTTCCAGACAAGCTAGCTTATGAATTCCTTTGGTATTCTATTTTTATATGATACCCTAATCTTCACTAGCTTTAAAACTGAGCCCAATACAGCCTCTAAAAGAACGCTTAACGCTGATTTCCATTGGCAGGTTAAATGTCTTGTTTTGTCACAAAAAAACTTTAAAGGTGGGGTAGGTAATTTTGGAGAAACCAGCTCGAGTGCGCTAGAATTTGAAAATACACAACCGGAGAAAATCTGCCACTTCCTTATAGAGCCCCGCCTCCAACACACACGAACGCGCACATGACCAATGAGGGCACGAGATAAGTTTGTGCACAGATGGAAGGCTGACAGGCAGGTAGGCGATCCAATTATTTTAGCCGGGCCGGCTAAAATGATTCCATATGTCTTCATTAGTTGTGTTTTTTACAATTATCTTAACACACCAGATTCAAATTGACTACTTGTCTGTTCCAAAGCAGCGTTCCTGACATTCTTAGCCAGTGTTGACTCATCAAATACTTTGTTTACAGGCGTTCCTACTTCTAATTATAATTTTAATTGTAGTTTCAAAAAGGGAGAGGTGGCAGAGAGTGCATTGTTTCTAAGGGCGGTGCAACTGCTGGTAAAGGCCAATTCTTTGTCACACAAAATAATAATAATCATAATAACGAGACACTCGACTAACAAAACCTCTAGACTGTAATCAAATGATAAATGGAAATGGAAGCACTGTTAAATAGAATAATAATCCATGGAATATAACAAAAAGTGTATCTCGAGCCGGTTTCTCAAACTTACCTACCCCACCTTTAAGATATTCAGTTTAATATTATATACAATAGAGAAGTAGTAGTAAAAAGTTGTAATTATCCACACCTAAAAGGAAATAAATGCCATGTTCTGCTTGGTTTTGCATTAAAATTTGAAATGTAATGATTAACCGGTTATTCAAATAGTTTCCGATGACTCTCCCGTTGATCAAATAATCATTGCAGCTCATTTTCCTCTTTTAACTTGACAAAAAAAACCTTTTCAACGAACAGCTCATGTTGTTCAGTCCCCTCGAGCTATCTGGGATCACCTAAACTGTCTTTTAATACAATATAGATGATAGATATAGATTGTAACGTACCTTTTTTTTTAAATATTCTTGCTGGGCTTACTTGCATAGCTGCATTTTATTCTTTCGTCTGCTTTTCTTTCAGAGCCCTATGCCATCATGCCACCGATGGAGTTATTCATGGAGGTGTCTTATGAGGAGAGAAGGACCATGTTGTATAGGGACTTGGAAAAGGGAGACATTTTGGTGGGGAGGATCAACAACATCAGAGAATACGGCTTCTTTCTCACTCTGCTTTGCACGGCTGGAGGATTGAGGAGAGACATAGAAGACCTGGAGCTGTCGGTATGTCAACAAAGAATGGAATGCACTCAAGCTATATCAAAAATCTTTTCAAAGATGTAAAGCGCTCAGTCACCCTTGTAGTTTCAGCAGATAGGAATTATTAGTTGGCCAGCTTTACTGGCACCAACTCTGCTTCCCTGAACTCCTTAATGACTGACATTGGACAATGTGTCTCGTCTACGCATACTGTGTTTCATACCTTTGTTTGGCTGCTGGGAATCTTCTCTTCTAAAGGCTCAGCATGACCTGCTTTTCTTCAAGAATTCACAGAATTATGGTTATTTTTAGTAACCTCATTCCGACCTCACACCTGGTAGAAAACACAGTACTCATCATTTAGTCATTTATCAACCAGCCATTTTTTCTCTTCCCTTTCTACCTTCAGGCTCTGTGTCACATACGAGAAGTTCCCTCCACTGGCAGCCATGATGATCCTCTGTCCTATTACCAGATCGGGGACTTCATTAGAGGTCAGTGTTTTTCTCATATTCACTTTTTGTCTGGAGTTTTCTTTGCAGCACTAAACACGAGACCTTGTTTCTAGATAATTGGTTGCTAGGCATCTGTAACACAACCAACTGTGTGCATATTTTTGTGACTTTCAGCCAGCTTCCAAATAAACTGCTAATATACAACCAATGTATATGTAAAGCTACCCTAAATGTCTGCAACAACAGACACTTATGTTAGCAAATCTGTGTGCTAACACAAGTGCTTCATTTTCTCCTTCTGTAGCTGCAGTGAAAGACATCGACCGCTACCAGGAGAAAATCACAGTTTCTCTCCAACAGGCTGCTCTTTCTCCCGGCTTGGAGCACATCAAACTGGGTGTCTTTCCTCGCGAGGAGTTGCCCATACACTACAGGTAACTACACAACATGAAATTACAAAATAAACTACACAAACCTCTAAAAAGCTAATCCTTTAAAAAAAAAAAAAGAAATGTATAATACAAATCCAAATGTGCCTGAAACGGTTTGGTGGTGTACTGAACAGCAATTGCAACATTACTTTTTGAATGTATATCTAAATGAATGGATGTGAGATGCATTTTAATCAAAAACATCCCACAAACAAGAAGGATACTTGCTTCATACCAAATGTACCTTATGTGTCTGTCAATGGTAGAGACCCTGTCTCATGCACTAATATAGATTATTCTCGGTGCTTAAAAAAAGCTCAATCTCAATTAATTTATTAAAGCTCAATTTCATTCATGAATATAGCTCATGTTCACTTTTTTCTCTGTGAGCTTTGTAAATGCTTAGTGATCACCACAGAAGATAAAATAAGCCCTTCAACACAAAACCAGTTTTTTCTTGTAGATCGTGTAACTGTCTGACTCCTCTCCTCTCCTCTTTCTTTTAGTCGTAGCCTTCGTGCAGCCGCTGACTCCCGTGAGACATACGAGTGTATACTGAAGAGCTGCCATGGTTACCACAACCCCTCTGTAGTGGAATACCTGCTGGAGAAGGTGGGAGTTAGTGACACCCAACCACCATCAATGATGAGAGGACTGCAGAGGTAAACAAATGGCTGACATCTTGTCCCTATGTCCCTATGTGTTACAAATGTCGAGGCAAGTTGCAATCCGTGAAATGAATCCCTTTTAAGTTGGTAATCGTAAGCTGGCCTGAAAAAAGTTATGACTGAGAATGGCACCTGGAGAGCGCAGACCTTCCAGCCATGCCAACTGTGCGTTCATGTGATCTCTGCACTGTCCCGTTCCCCGAGCTGGGAAATCATGTGCTAATACTGAGTTGTTTTTCCAACTTGAAGGGATATTCACTGGAATTGACCCAGAAGTCAGTATTTGACTTGTCCCAGTGCAAAGGCCAACGCTCTTAGAACATCAGCCTTGCATGTCTTCTAACAGCCAGACCCCAGCCAGTGTTAATGTTTTTTTACTTAAACCTTGGAAAGCTGTTATTCGTCGTCGTCGTCCCCAGCCCAGACCTCACTGCTCTTTGTCTGGGGCCACAGGTCCCTTGACAACTAATGGATTTGTCATCATCACAATCCTTATTGTGTTTACACGTCAGGAGGCTTTTTTCCAAATAATAATGATCAGCCTTTGCTGTAGGCAGGTAAACACTGATTCTCTTTAAGAACAGGAAGCCTACAGTGTTGACAGAGAGCTGTTAGATGGTCCATACTCACTGAAGTTCTTGCCTGTGTCTCTTTTCTCCACAGTAAACTTTTTCACGAGGAGGATTTTGCCTCTGCAATCAGGAAGAGACAGTCTGCATCATGGGCCTTGAAGTGGTAATGCTAGAGTGTTTAATTGGTCTCTCATAGATATCACAGTACAAAAGGAAAATTATCCCATTTTCTAGTCTTTCTTCCTCTGACGTTAATAAAATACTTTTTCCGTGCTCCTTGTCTGCCTTTGCTCTTGCAGTGTCCGTGCAGGTGTGGACCACTTCAAACATGGTCGTCATGTGGAAGCCATGAATGAATACAACAAAGCGCTGGATATCGACACTAATAATGTAGAAGCACTGGTGGCACGTGGAGCTCTGTGAGTTGATTCGACTTGATTGAATGTTATACTATATCACTCTTGTTTGGGCTCACAGTTTACATAAATAACCATTTTCATATAGGTCCTCTTGAAAGTTGATTTCTACCTTTTTTTAGACAATCATACCAAAACTTTTACAACCCATTTACTTGGTTTATATGTTGGTGAATGTTAAGACAATACCTTTTAGTAAGAAATGTTCATGTGTGCCCTGTGAGTAACACTTAAGAACAATGCCTCAGTCAAAGAGTAAGCAAGAATGAATTTGAAAGAGAACATGAGAAACAATATTTCTGAACATGCCCCTGTCATCTCTTCATTGTCTAATGTACTTGGAAATACACGTATTTCTTTGGCTTGGCGCCAGGCTCAGCAAAAGGAAACTCCTTTACGAGCTACATCACAGATACATGTTCCAGAGAACTGCAGCAATGCTAAAACACAATACCCACAGTTAGTGAAACCACAAGGTTTAAGCAAAAAGAGAAGGAAAATAAATCCAGTTTGGAGCATAGTTGGTTCTCAGGGATGATGGAATTCTCCTTTTTAGATGTTTTTTGATCGTATTGTGCATTTCTTTCATTTGTTGTCATTCACAGGTATGCTAACAAAGGCAGCATAATGAAGGCCATAACAGACTTTGAACTGGCCCTGGAGAACTGTCCAGATCACCGCAATGCCAACAAGTACCTCTGCCAGACTCTAGTAGAGAGAGGAAAACAGTAAGCATTGCTACCTTTGCTTTCATAAGTTCAAGAGGAAGGATAATTGAATGCAATACTGCTAAAAATACATTCAAATGTAATGATAACTAACAAATAGCTTTAATGATTTCATGTTAACAGCTCAGTAGCATTTTCTTCAGTCCTGGTTGTTTTTCAGAAAATGAAAAAAACATTACTACATTAACCTTTGTGATCTACGTCCTTGTGCCTCTGTGCTGCAGGTATAAAGAAGGGACTTCCTGCTTAGATTACTTATTTCATGCAACAACAAGGTTGCCAGTGAACTTCCTTATTTATATTTAGTTAATATAAAGCCAGGTTCAGTGTGAGGGATGCGGTTAAAGGCAACAAATGATTATTATTCTATTTAACAGTGCTTCCATTTCCATTAATCATTTGATTACAGTCTAGAGGTTTTGTTAGTTGAGTGTCTCGTTATTATTATTATTATTTTGTGTGACAAAGAATTGGCCTTTCCCAGCAGTTGCACCGCCCCTAGAAACAATGCACTCTCTGCCACCTCTTACTGTCACTACCTCCCTTTTTTAAACTACAATTAAAATTATAATTAGAAGTAGGAACGCCTGTAAACAAAGTATTTGATGAGTCAACACTGGCTAAGAATGTCAGGAACACTGCTTTGGAACAGACAAGTAGTCAATTTGAATCTGGTTTGTTGGGATAATTGTAAAAAACGCAACTAATGAAGACATGAGTTGAAAAAGCCTGGTATATTGGCCCTTGTTTCTGATCAATATCTGGGATCTTATAAGAGTTCTACTGTGTGTGTGTGTGTGTGTGTGTGTGTGTGTGTTTGTGTGTGCGTAGGCTTGAGGAACAGGAGAAACTGGTCACAGCAGAGGGACTTTACAGGAAAGCTCTATCTCTCGATGAGTCAAACCCTGAGGCCCAGGAAGCGCTGCACAAAATAACCGAGACTATACAGGTGAGCGGGAACCACACACAAACACGCTGGGTTAGGCGAAAGTTGGCAGAAATGCACACTGTGTATTTAAGCCTTATCTATTAAAACACACCCTAACAATAATGTGCATATAGAGGCTAAGCTCACATTTCAATGTAGTGGATTGTTTGACTTCGGAAAATCAAATGAATAAAGAGCTCTCAGAAGCTTTGTGTATTTTGTGTGACAAATATCTGTGACCCAGTCTTTCTTTCATAGAGCGACTATAGTCAAAATGTTTCTATTAGCAGAGTTACATGACTACTGGTGTGTGAAATGGGTCACAGTATTACCACAAACTCTGCTGTACTGCTCCATTCTACGGAGCCTGATGGCATCTTTCAGCTCAGTGTTTCGGCTTTCTGACACTTTTTTGCTTTAGATCAGTCTCACCGCTCTTATCAGTTTTCAGCGGCAGCAAGGAGGCTTTTAAAACAAACACAAATGTAAACAATCCCTGCTCAGCAGCACAGGGCACAAACAGTTCACGACTCCCTGGCAGCTAAGAGTTAGTGGAGAAATACAACAGTCATAAAGGCTTAAGAACCAGATACACAACTCCAAATAAAGGCACATGTTCTTCTACCTGTACAACTGCTGGTTGCTTAGTTAGGGAACTGTTCATTAACAGCCTTGCTTCCACTGCCCCCGAGTGGCCAAAAATGAAGGGGTTTAAATTAAAGCACGGATAAGACATGCATGAATCTTATAATCAAGGGCGTGCAGACACACAACTTGACTATTTAGATGTTAGCAATGACATCACAACAGACATACAGCTGTTGCAGGTATTGATATGTAGGTGTTACATCTTTAGAAACTAACTTGAACGGGAATTCTTCCTTTTTGATGTTTGGCAGTTTTCTAAGATCAGATTGTTTGTGTACATGCATAGCTTTTCAAACTGCCTCCCTGTTGGCCACTTTACATTCTCTAATTATTAACCAATAGAGAAAAAAAGCAGAAAGGATTTAAACTCCTGTGTGTCTGCTAATGTTTTACCAGCTCAATATCCGTCTAAGATTAATATCCAAACAGGAGACATTCCTTGTGGATTTGTAGGCAGCTATTAACTGGATAGGTCAAACCTTGCCCTGTATAATGTAAGTCTTTACTCAGTATATTAACAATTAATAAACAGCTAACTATATAATACTAAGTGTTTCTGGAGTCATTTCAACAACCTCTACAATATGTTATTGTTCAGATGCACACTGAATACACTTTATTTGTTCCATTTTCATGTGTTAACACTAAATATGAATTTTGAAAGTGAATTGTGTACCTATGTTGGTTTGTAAGACTGATGAAGTGTTTTGGTGTTTGTGTGTGTGTCTGCGGCCTCGGGACTCTGACTCTTTGACCCTTCAACTTCCATGGCCTTGTCACGTGCTTTGCGGTGGTGAAAATAAATAAACGGCACAATGACACCAACTCCTCTATTGGACTCTCGTGCGTCCCCCTGGTCCAAATCGGTAACGTTGAAACATTCTCTCTGTCTGATTGGGAAACAAATGCTTTGTGCTTTCTCTGCCTGTACCTCTGTCTATTCCTTCTGCTTCTCTGCCAATACCGTTCTCTTGGATTACACAACTTTTTTTTAACTCTGTCTATTTCTTTATCATGTCGTCTGTGGCGTGTGATCATAACATTCTGCTGTCCTTCTCAAATCTCTGACTTTCCTTTTGTCTCCAACATGAATAATTTACTAAATGAATGGCTGATAACTGATCGATTTCGGGGTCGCTGTTGCATGTCTTGGGTCATGGCGTGTTTGAATGTGTCTTTGTGGACTTTTGCTTGCCATTGTTATGTCTTGCCTTGCATCACCCGGCGGCCTTAAAGGTATCAATTCGCCTGCGAGAAGAAGCGGTGGCTAAGGAGCAGGAGAAAGCTACGAGCAGCCAGACCAGCGCTGAGAAATTGCGTAAGATCTTAAAAGAGGAGAAGAGGTGAGTTGTCTCTGATCTGATCAGGTACATTTGCTACATATGAAGTCATTGAAATCCTTTTCATAACTCCAAATCATTTCATGTTTATGAGGATGAAATGTTCAGTGGATGTCTTTTTTTACTTTTTTACAGAATGAAGAAGAAACGCAAGAGATCAGCGTCTTCCAATCCCTCGTCCACCGCTTCCTCCAGAGACTCTTCTTCTTCTTCTTCGTCGTCTGACTCCTCTCGCAGGAGGTCCAAAAAGAAGAAGAAAAGGAGGAAGCGGGGAAGTAAGCGCCATCGCAGGATCTCCTCAAAGGAGAGCAGCAGCAGGAGGAGCGAGGAGGGTAAGAGCAAGAAAGACCAGAAGGAAGAAGAGGTGGAGTGGTACCCCGCTCCTCCAAACACCTCCGCCACCTTTCTCAACCAGAAGGGAGGCCCGAGGTTTGGGGAGAGGGATGAGGGGGAGGCAGTGGAGAACGATGCTGAAGATAAACGCATCTCTCAGCTGTATTCGTTGTCTGCAGCTTCAGAGGACGAAGAGTCCGACTCGTCCCAAACAGAAAGGAAGAGAAGGGACGGAAAGGAGAGTAGGACAGGGGAAAGGAAAAACAGTCAAAGCCAGGAAAGAGAGGAGAGGGGGAGTCGGAGTGGAGAAAGGAAGGATAAGAGCAGTGAGAGAGGGAGGGAGGATAACGGGAAAGAAAGGAGAGGAAGTGACTCCAAGAGGAGAAGCAGCTTGGAGGAGAACAGACGACGAACAGTGTCCTGCTCGTCTGCCGAGTCTGCGTATTCACGGAAATCTCATTTCAATCCTGAATATTTAGGGAACTCAAAAAGCGTAGAGAGTAAGGTGAGACACGACTCGTCCAAGAGGAACTCCTTCGATGGAGGTAGGTATGAGAACAGAGGGCGGGAGGAAATTCAAGAAGTAGAAGAGGCAAAGGGAGAGAAGGATAGCAGGAAGGGGGAAGACGAAAATGTACCAGGAAGTGGTAGAAAATCAGAAGGTGCGGGAAATCACACCAGACAGAGTAGTTTGACCTCAGTGCCAGGAGGAAGCGTTAAGAAAGACCTCCCTACTAACCTGTTGGATATTTTCAATCAGATCGCCCAGTTTAAGAAGGGGAAGGGAGGCGGGCCGAGAAAATAAGTCAAAACCAAAAGTCCACAATGTGCCCAATACTAGTGACTGTGAAATGGATGTTTGTACAATGAATTCATTCAGCCCTGCTATTGCGTTGTTCCCAGTTGTTGTGGATTACCTTCAGTGTCAAAATGTCTTCTGGTGGATTTAAGGCTTGTGAGCGACGGTAGTAATTGCTCGTCAAAATGTTTCAAATGGACTAGAATAGTTCACATGCCCCCAGGATGATCCAATATCCCCAGGTGGGAAGTCGCTCTTCCTGCTCCTGTGTGTTTGAGTTTTAAGTCGTATTGTGAAAACATGGATTCTAAAAAGATATCTTGTTATATTATTGATCTGAGTGTTAAAACAACACATTCAAAAAATATCTTTCCTAGTTGAGGGGGGCGTTCATGCTCAAGTTGTGATCGAAATGTTCTGAACATAATTTGTGCCCATGCTATGCTAACTTTCCTGAAGATGGTAATTTGACTGTAATCCCAAAACATAACCTCATTGGCAAAACGGAGGAATGTGATGAGATGAATTTTGTAAATGTATTAGTGTATTTCAAGAGAATGACATTTTCCACTTATTGTATCTTTTGAAAAATAACGACGATTTCAATGACTACAAGTATTCGATTTTAGGTCGGTATTATTTGATCATCTGTTGGGTGTTCTCCATACATAGAGGGTCTTTTTGTGTACATTTTGACAAGGTATTACATATCCCTCACTTCTGAGGTCACTTCAGTTGCTACAGGCTTTAATGTCTCTTGTTTTATGTTCATTTTGAGTTGAGTCTTTTATCTGTTCAAAAAGATACTGCCTTATGTTTACTGCCTTGGGCCATTTGTGCTTTCTTTGTGTGGCTTGTTGAATCCCAAACAACCTGACTGTTAGTACTGCTGTACCTTATCAAGCTTTACACCATGCAGATGTTTCAGTTGTATCCCGACACATTTTTTCCTGCAGTGAAATGGGTGAATCAATAAAGCAATTAAAATCTCAAGATAACATGCCGTGTCCAAGTCTTCTAAGTTTTTTTTATTTCGTTTTTTCCACACTTTTGTTCATTGCTCTCCTACTTCTGTTTTGATCACACTAATGCTAAATACTAAAAGCTAGTTTGTTTGTCATCAATCTACCTAAAGTTATGTTCTACCTCACAAGACCTACACACACACAAAGAGTCAAGCAAGTTAAAATCACATCTTGATAAAAGACAGCATCCAAGGTGAAATAGTCAGTTAAAAATATGCAAGCGCTCATTGGCCAAGTCCCAACTATTGCATGTTTTAATTATTTATTTAACTTTGGTTTTAAAGATCCTAATAAAACATATATATATATATATATATATATATATATATATATATATATATATATATATATATATGTATATGTTGGTGTGGTTTCACAGTAATGATTGTTTTCTTAAGTGTTGAACAAATATTTGAAATCCTTTTACCTCACTTATTAGTCCTGCATTGAAAATATTACTTAAAGTGGACCTATCATGCTATATTTGAATAATATAGTGTAGGACCATACCTATATAAGGCATATTTATATATATTTTTTTCAAAATATCAAACACATCATGCATTTTAGCCATGCCTCATTTCGCTCAATTTGACAATTTCTAGCTCTGTTTTAGCAGGGGCAGATTATGTGAGAACAGCACCATCTACTGGCCTGGCATATGTACTACAGCGTCTCCAGCGCTTTCGAACGGCAATGGCCGTGGCTGTCTCCTCCTGATTGGTGGAGTTGGCCCAATAGCCGTAGCGCCACCGTCCTGACGTCAGGACAGTGTTCAAATCTGGATCAGTTTTTATCAGATCCGTTGCAGCCCCTTTTTTAGAGATTTGGGTATGGAGGGAAATAGAGAGGGTTGTGTTTTCTGACACTTGGTGAGTTCCCTGGAACACCGGGGACACATTCATGTATAAAAGATGTACAAAAGTGCATTTTGCATGATAGGTCCCCTTTCAGTAAATACTTGTAAAGGTATGCATGACGTTTACCATAAAATATTCATATTTTAAATGTTGGGTTTAAAATACTGATGCATTAAGTCACATGTTACTGTTCTATCTTGTGCAGTTCACATTTATTTTCACTTGTTTTGTGCATAATATGTTACATAACTATTGACAGCCTTGCATGCAAAAGTAACCTGTGACTAAAGCTGTCAATCCAGTTCCAGTTAGAAAACAGCCACACATTGCATACAGTGTTTATAATATATATTGAACTGAAATCTAAGGATGAAATTAAGAGTATAATAGACAGATGAGTTTAGACACAGGAGAGAAAGACACATGCCTTCTCACTGACCTTGTATTTGTGTGTGTGTGTGTGTGTGTGTGTGTGAGCAGAGATTTTGTTTCCACACATAACACTTGCTTGAGTGTATTGGTGTGTCTGAAGCACACAGCTGAAGATGAGCGCAAACAGACATTTGTGTTCAGTTGTTTCACATTCCAGATATATAACAGAGACATGCTGTCAGCTTCCATAACGGCTCTAACTGAAGGCATTTCTTCTTTCTTTAATGCAGGGCTGTATAGACAAAGAACAAGTGTTTTAATGTAACTATCTAGGAGTATTGATAGACATTTAACTTTAAAAGTCATCAGTACACCTCAGAAACTTGTTTCAGCTTTCCAAAACACTCATTAGAAACCTTGTGTGAGAAATCCCACTATGTTACATGAACGTATATCATCATTTTTTTCCAGCCGGGTTAAGCTGCAGATTCAGGTTATTGATTTCTGCACATTGTCACAGTGTTTTCATATTATCATTTGACATATTATTATAAAAATATATGTTATAGCACTGCTCGGGTTCCAATGACAGTTGATATACAGTAAATACCTAAAGCAGGTTTACATATCAATATTACATCACCTATATTCTCGTTCACATGTGTAAAAATCGTCAAAATATGTTGAATAAACCGACTATTCAACGGATCAGCTACACTCCTGCCAGAGAGGAAAATACAATTTTTATTTTTTTAGAGTCATGCTACCCCCTTCTGACTCAGTAATGTGTGGGAAAGGATTCATTTTCCAGCAGGATATTGATCCTTAACATGCATGGAAGCCACTGTACACCAGGCCCCTAAAGTCAGCAGACCTACCATTGACTGACAAAGTAATGGGGTAAAGGTGAAAAACATAGTAACATAAGACACTCATTTGGGACACTGTCAAAGGGTTGGTGGTATAAAATGACAAAATCAATGTATTGTCTTGTTTCTCTTGTGTTATTTAACCATAAAGACAGTTTTATTGGCCGTTGCATGGGAGAGATTACACTTTGTACACTATAGCACTGTTTATATGAAGTATTTAAATGTTAGGTAGTAGTAGTATAAGAAAGTTCCAGCACAAATCAGTAAGACGACATTGAAGGAGATTTATTCTACAAAATATTTCCCTTTTTTTGTTGTGATTTTTTGTGAGCTAAACCTAAATAGAGCTATTGTTAAGTGTTAAGGAATAATGTTAAAGCTTTGATGAAGGCCGACTGTAAGAGCCAAACATCAATAAATGTGAATATATTTTTAAATATTAACATGCTTATAGTTTTTCTTAACATGTCTTATAAGATAAGACTGTATTGATTCCCGGGGCGGAAATTTTGAATTTTCATTACAAAATAGATACTACAATTACAATGCAGGCAGTATACAAAACGGTACTCATGAGTACGATACCTTCTCAAGCCAAATCACATAGTGGTGTGAGAAGTTAAAGCACAGTGAAGTATACAATAATATGATACCACTTGCTATAACAGCATACAGCAGAATTGGCTATTATAATAAAGTGTGGGGTAAAACATCATATCATTATGATTTTCTGGCTGGTCTGAGTAAACGGAACAGTAAACAGTACCATGTTTCTGACAATGTGGTTTGTTGCCATGCGATGGCCCGAACACATCTGGTTGTCTTTCATCCTTCAGGCAAATGAAACCCAAAGTGGCTTTATGTCTTATTAGTGCTTTAAGCTTCTTGGTTTCACATGTTTGATTAAATAACTGGACACACTCATACACATACACACACACACACACACACACACACACACACACACACACACACACACACACACACACACACACACACACACACCAGTGGCTGTGCGACCAAGCGTGCGTCGCCCCGTGCCAAAGTAGCTTACTTCAGGCTTAGCTGTCAACCTCTCCCTCTCCTCCTCCATCATTACCGGCTCCATCATCAGCGATGCAGCGGAGAGGCTGCAGTCTATCTTGTTAGGGCAGATTAAGCACTAATGTACGGGCAGTAAAGAAGCCTCTTCATCTAAAGCTGTACACACACACACTCCTGATCCTGTGCTTTCTGTCTCAGACGCCTGACATCTTAATCTTCATAAATTGTGAGTACAAGAGATCCTGCAGTGGTTCCTCTGGCCTCAGCGAGGGCTCCCTCTGTGGGTCAGTCCCGTGAAGAGCCTCTACAGGACTTTTAGCTCCTGAGCACAAACACAGTCTTAGTTTACTCCACTTTTAATTGCAGTTGTAAAACACTTGATACAACAAAAAACACATACATTAAAATTGATGTCATCTCCTAATAGTAAAAAATAACTTGTCCATCCTGATTTTATTATTAATTATTTGCAATCCCCCCCTTGCCTGCTAAATTTGACCAATGATGTGATGTAGGAATGAAAGACTTTGGATTGGAGCCTTAAAAAACAAATAAGTCAGGGGTGGAAGAAGTAATCAGATATTTTGCTTAAGTAAGAGTTCATAAATCAATGTGTTAAAAAGTGTATAACAAGTAAAAGTTGTGCATTCAAAAATGTAAGTCAAGTATAGTCAAAAAATCTAAATCTAAATATAGTACCACAAGTACTTATTAGGTAGAATGGGCCATTTAAGAAAAATGTGCAGTATATAATTGAATGAGATTGTAATTATGATGCAGTAATGTGTCATTGCTTTAATTTTGCTGAGGTAAAAGGTAGAGATCATTTTAATGACTTTATATACTATTTTGGTAGCTTGTGAATTTCCCAGGGTTCAACATAGCCTTATCTTTGCTCGAACTAATAACCAAATGTATAAGTTACTTTATATTTTCCTATTAATTTGGATTATACAAAGTAGCTAATACCTAAGTTATTATTATTATATACATGTAGTGAGGTATAACAGTACATGTTTTGAATCTGAATTTGAGATTGAAATACTCAAGAAAAGTACCCCAAAATGTAACTCATTTCCAGTTTTTTAGTAAATGTATTCAGTTCCATTCAAAAGCTCATGATATGTGAAGAGAAAGTTGGTTATAACATATTTATGAAACCAGCAAAAATATACAATTGGTATCGATAGAAGAAGAAGTCCTCCTGAATTCAGATGCATCAGATGTGCAGTTCTGCAGCTCTCCACTGGAGGGCAGTGCAGCGCTGTCTGTGGACAGCAGTTGACTTCAAAAATGACAAATCACATTACTCTTCTAAACATCTTTACTGATGGAGCTTTTATCCTTAGTTTTATTAATAAATTGTATTTAAAATGAATTGATGTTTTAGTCCAACTCTATTTGAATCTGAAAGAATATAATCTTGTTTGTAAATATAGATACAGCTCTTTTGGTTGCTAAAGCAGGGGAGCTGCTAACAATTGGTGGTCCCTGAAAAATATTTTACTTGCGATCCTAGATCTTAAATATATATTCCATGCGAACTAATAATAATATGCTAATAATGACAAAAATACCTATACTTTTTAATATATTCTTTGCCTCGTTTTTAATGTGAAGTGTAACGTCCACTCAACACATCAAAGTTGCTTGAAATAATTGTTACGGTAACTTTTGGATGCAACAAAAACTGCAAAATTGAGGGAAAGTGTCTGTGATGTTAGTAGCAAACCATTTTTTTTAAATCTGTCGTAGTCCTGAAATACATGTTATAATTCAAAGCAAACCTCACAGGCAAAATCTGACAGTACATTAAGTATGAAAAAG